AGCCCTGCTTTCGGCCTTGTGCTGGGCTCCCGGGGAAACTGCCGTTCATTTTCCGTATCTTTTGAGGTCATTTTGAATAGAGAAGGAAGGAGAAAGACAAAAGAAAAGGACCCAACAGTCTCACCGTCCAGTCTTGCAGCTGTCGACACCATCTCTTCGCCTCTTGTACCTATTTTTGTCATTTTTTTCTACTTCGTCTCTTTTGTTGCTTCACTTGATATCTCCGCCACTTGCAAGGCTGCTATACTATAAAGCCTCGTCCCTTTGCACGCATCGACTCCATTTGCAGTGTCTGTCTGTACGAGAGGTTACAGAGACAAACCAGAATACATAAGGATAAGCAACACATGCATACATACTACATAATTGTATGTCTTCTCATATGCACGCCAACACACCAAAGACATGTCAACACACAAAGATAGAATACGTCCTAGTCTTTGATTTTCCGCTGTTCGTCACCCACCTCGTACCATGTATCGTGTCCCCTCTGTCAAATCACTCTGTCAAAGCACAGTGTTGTTCCATATTTGTCCGATCTTGTGCGCCCTCAACATGGTTCGTGTGGCGTCTTGACTTCTTGTCCTCCTGACCTTGTCCTCTTGTCATTTTGTACTCCTGACTTTCAATCTTGTCCTTTTCTGCGCGCTCTCCTCCTCTCGCATCAACTCCTTGCCCCGTCCCTCACTTCCTCTCTGGTCTGACGAGCCTGGTACTCCCAACCCAGCAAGGCCCTTTCCCCATCTCCCACCCTCCGTCACATTGAAAACGAAGGAGACGTAGCTGATGACCAAAGGACATTCCATAGTTCTTAGCCAGCCAACGCATTTCCATTTCCTCCACTCATCCTCTGCCGCCTCTGCGTCCCTTGTCTCCTTTGGACTCCTTGGTCACTGTCTCGTTCGCTGAATGTTCCATTTGGTCTGTTTTTTACGAATTTCTTTCATTCCAACAGCATCCTTTCACTTATCACCATCATCTGTTCACCTTGCCGTTGTTAACATCGTTTCTTTCTCTCTTTTTTGCCTTTTCATTCCCACTCCCTCTCATCCCAACCTTTTGTAATTCGCCTAACCACAACCACATGACAGATTCGACATGAATGATGATCTGGCCACGATGCAGCTTTCGGGACAACAGGCCAGCGTTGTCGTCGGCATTGAGCGCGCCGGCGCGTCACTCTCCATGATTGGCGTCCTGCTCATCGTCGTCACCTTTGCCCTCTTCAAGCGGCTGCGGACGGTGCCCAACACGTTTATCCTGTTCGCTTCCATTGCCAACATCGGCGCCAGCACGGCCAGCCTCATCGGCCTGTCGGGCATCGCCCAGGGCGGCAACAGCACGCTGTGCCGCGCGCAGGCGTTTTTGCTGGAAATGTTTATGCAGTCCGACCCCATGTGGTCGTTTGCCATGGCCTTTAACGTGTACCTGGTGTTCTTCCACTCGGCGAACCCGACCACGTTCCGTCGCCATCTCTGGGTGTACTGCCTCGGGTGCTTTGGGCTGCCCATGATCCCGGCGATTGTGTGTTTGTACGTGCAGAACGCGGACAAGGGTCCCGTGTACGGCGATGCCACGCTGTGGTGCTGGATCGGCGACAGCTGGAACGCGCTGCGCATCTACTCGTACTACATCCCCATCTGGGTGTGCATCTTCCTGTCGGCCGTCATATACGTCGCCGTCGGCTACCACGTCTTCCACCAGCGCAACCAGCTGCGCAACTTGACACTCAGCAACCAGGCCAAAGACCTGTCGAGCTCCGAGGTAAGAGACTCGGCAGACAAGGTACGATCCGGGGGGGCGGGAGGGGAAGGGAGAAAGGGACCATTCTCATGTCTTTGTGTACAGGGAGAAGACAAAAATCACTGACACTCTGGCTTGCTTTGCAGAACCTCACAAAACAACCCGAGATGTACGCGACGGTGATGACCGAAGTGCAGATCACGTCCGACGTCTGCGAGACGGCTCTGTCGAGCGAGCGCACCCCGCCGATGACACCCCTCGCATCGCCCATGCAGTGCCTTTGGAGCGACGAACCGTTCCCACAGACAATTGACAACAGCACAAACAGCGCCTTTGTCAATCTCCACGACCAGATGCACCACCGCATAGACGAAGAACGCAACATAGGCGGCAGCCATGCAGTCTCGCCGCCACCGGCTGCCTACTACGGTGGCATCCACAGCGGGCCCAGTGCTGCTGCGTACCAGGCCACGTCCACCACGGTCATCACCTCGCCGGCGCCGCCCCACGGCTTCCAACCCATGGGGCAGTCGTCGCGAAACGCCCACGCGAGCTCGGCGTTTCGTCTGCAGCCGCAGTTCGTTTCGTCCCACGGCCACCGCCCCTTTGGCCACCTCGCGCACTCGCACCACGTGCACCGCGGCCACCTTCAAAACCGGGGCAGCCGCGCTCGCACGTCGCAGCACATCTCCGTGGCCCAGCGTGGTCGCCACGCCTGGCACCGGTTCACTGGAAAACTGCGCCACATGGACCCCGTCAAGCTCGCTTACTTGCGCACCTCGTTTGTCTTTGCCATTTCTGTTCTCGTCACCTGGACGCCCAGCTCCATCAACCGGGTGTACACACTCGTGTATCCGGCCCGGATCAGCTACGGCCTCAACATTGCCAGTGCCGCCGTCTTGCCGCTGCAGGGCGTCTGGAACGCCGTCATCTACTTTTCCACCAGCTGGAGCTTGCTGCGTGGCGAGGTCGGCCGGCGGTACGCACGGTCGCGCTGGATGCGCCGGGTCGGCGGACGGGTCCACGGAGGGCTGGCGCGGCTGCGCGGCGGCGGCAGCAGTGGCGGTGGCGATGGCGGAGACAAGGAGTTGGTCGGCATAAGCAGCGGTCGTATTCCAGGGATATTGGTAGCCGGTTCTGGCGAGGATGGTGTAGGTGTAGGTGGTGGCGGCGGCGCGTCCATGGGCACGGCGTTGTCGCCCTTGCGAAGCCGTAGCTATAGCCAGAGCCATCTGGGTTCGTCGTCACGCAGTGGCACAGCCGACGCTGGCTCTGGTGTTGGCCCCGGGGCGAGCGCCGTCCATGGCCACCGCCACAGCTATAACGAGAACGACACGGAGAGTGACGGTCTGGACGGCCTCGACGGCTTCAACGAGCACTCCACTGTTGGCAGCAGCAGCCCCGGACTGCGCGCCGCTGGAAACCGGAGGCTACGACCGGCTGCGAGTATGGACCTCGGACCGCCACCCGGCCAGCGCAGTCCACGGAGTCCACCACGGTTGGGTACATTGCGTGTCCAGCGCGGCGGCCAGTTGGACACGTGAGGGGCGTGGAAGAAGACAAAGGCCGAGGTGAGATGGGCTATTTTGGATCTGCTTCTGCGTCTGTCATGCATAGTCGACGTATTTTGTGTTTTGTGTTGTTGGTATATCCTGTCGTGTTTCTACTTGTATTAGTCATCTTATCCCGTTGGTTCTGAACAAAATGCCAAGTGTACTCCGTGTTGAATAAGGTCTGTCGTATGACACCTCATATCGTAGATTTTTGTGATAATTTCTGTTGTCGTTTAGCCACCAACGACCACGGCTCTTCCCAGCCAATCACGAACCGTAGTCACTGCTCTTTGGCAACGAGCTTGTACCTTGGCATTGTCCCCAAGGCATGGCGCGTCTTGCCGTCTCTGTTGGCGCGTTGGGACCTGAGCTGAACTGCGTTTTAGTTCTGGATTCGAGCTTTGGTTGGCTCGGCTGGGCCGATCTTGTTTCTTTCCTTTCCGTTAGTCAAATTGCGGCCTGTGTTTCAAGGGCCACTGGGGCCGGTTGTGCGTGCAGAATAAGAGGAGAGGGGAGACAAGAAAGAAAAAATGACTGGGTGTGAGAACCGCAGCATCAATCTCTCAACAAACGCATTTAGCAAGCCACACCAAAACACAAAATCCTGTCACCAAAAAAGTAAACAACAGCCAACTGGGTCACTCGTTCCGCACACCGTAGAAACGCACTCGACAGAATGATGGAATAGGAAACCGCCAATCGGTGCATCTTCCTCCTTCCCTCCTTCCCTCCTTCCTGCACGTCACCGGCGATCTCCTGCCGTGTTGCACTGTGTGTTCATGTATGCTGCAGTCTGACATTCAGTTGTCTTTTCCCAGCTGTGGCAGTTGCAACCCACAACAATAGTAGTACGCCTGCTTACGCCCACGCACCGTCACCGCCGTTACCCCGCCGTTTCCTTTCCTTCCCCACTATGTTCACTGTCTTCACTGTGTTGTCCCTAGTTTTTGCTGGCGACCCGCTCTCCTGCACCTCAGCCCTCTTCTCACTCGCGTCTCCGTCTTTTTCTGGCGACGCAACTGGCACGCTGCCCACGAGATATTGATTGACAGACCGGTTTCCTGTCTGTCCAGTCGAGTCTCGTCCAGTCCCGTCCGTTGGCTGTCAACAAAGCGACTTCATTCTCTGTCGTTCCGTTCATTTTTGTATCCCCTCGCAATCAGCTCATCCTATAGCGATTACATTCGAACGACTTGTTTCTTTTCTTTTTTTGGCAACACGCCGCGACGACCACACGACCAGCCAACACCTCGGACAACGACTGCCGACGAAGACAACCGTGGCGTCCATTCACATTCTTTGCCTTCATACCTGTCGACAGTCGCAACTGGCTCGACGCTCGACAACGCTGCAACGGCGCGACACGGCAGGCCCTGGAGGTCTGCTTCGTTTCTGGATCAGCGTCTTGCACAACTCTCTCTCTCTCTTCTCGAAGACAACCGTGAGCACGGCCGCTACCTCGGGTCTACGACATACGGGGTGACGGCAATTGACAACTCCTGTGGGCGACAGAGTCTGTTGTGCCCGTGCACTCCCATCCTGCGCCCCGGACGATTCAGATTGCCGGCGAGATAGCAGAGCAAGACGGCCACGACGACAGCCTCTCCGCTTCCTCTCCTTTAATACACTACATCCCTCCATGCCCTGCTCTCAATAGACGAGAAAGGAAACAACGGTGACACGCCTCGGAGCACGTTGCCAACCATGGCGAGCAGAGACGACGACTACAACCAGGGGACCGGTTCTGCCGACCCGGAGCAGCTATACTCAAAAGAGTACTGCATTGGAGGAGGCAGTTTCGGCAAGGTCTACAAAGGGTGAGTTGATGGGTCCTTGCGTCCTGGGGGTGCTCTGTTTCTGGTCAAGCATCTAACTGTTCCAGCGTCGACAAGCGGACTGGCCAGGCCGTCGCAATCAAGATTATCGATATTGAAAGCGCCGAGGACGAGGTCGAGGACATTATCCAAGAGATTGCCATTCTGTCCGAGCTCCAATCCCCCTATGTCACCAAATACTACGGCTCCTATGCCAAAGGCGCCGAGCTGTGGATCGTCATGGAGTTCTGCTCCGGTGGCAGCTGTGCCGATCTCATGAAGCCCGGTCTCATTGGCGAAGACTACATTGCCATCATTGTGCGCGAGCTGCTGCTCGGCCTGGACTACCTCCATGCCGACAAGAAGCTCCACCGCGATATCAAGGCCGCAAACGTCCTGCTCGGCTCCAACGGCCAGGTCAAACTGGCCGACTTTGGTGTTTCCGGCCAGCTGTCCGCCACCATGACCAAGAAGAACACCTTTGTCGGTACGCCGTTTTGGATGGCCCCCGAGGTCATCAAGCAGTCCGGCTACGACCACAAGGCCGACATTTGGTCCCTTGGCATCACCGCCCTTGAGCTGGCCAACGGCGAGCCGCCCTACGCCGACATCCACCCCATGAAGGTGCTCTTTCTCATCCCCAAAAACCCACCGCCACGCCTTGAAGGCAACTTCACCAAGGCATTCAAGGACTTTATCGAGGTCTGCCTGCGCCGCGACCCCAAAGAACGGCCGACCGCCCGCGACCTGCTCCGCCACCCCTTCATCCGTCGCGCCAAGAAGACAAGCTACCTAACGGAGCTCATCGAGCGCCACAGCCGATGGAGTGCCACACATAAGGGCAGTGGGGATGAAGACGACTACGACGACGACGATGGCGGCCACACGCATACGCAGCAAGGACAGGGGCATGGCGGTGTTGCTGCTGACCGTGAGCCTGTCAACGAGGACATGTGGGACTTTGGCACCGTTCGCTTGGTGGGTGGCGGCGGCGGACCGCCTGGGTATGCTCAGCCGCATCCGGGCTTCCGTCCCGGCCTCAATGCCATGGATGAGGCAGCCACGAACGCCCGTTCGTCGCGGTCCAGTGAATCCTCCGACGACTACGGCGAAACGCGGCGGGAAACCAGCCGCAGTCCGACCAAGGCCACCTTTGACCGCGAACGCGACACCCTCAAAGCCGCAACAGCAGCATCTGCCTCGGCAACATCTGGAACGGCGCGGCAAGTCAGTCCTCAACGGAAACCGGTCTCGAGCATGATCAACATACCGCCGCCAACCGGCGGCCCTGGTCCCCTCTCCCAGCCGTCTCTGCAGTCTTTGCAGCTCCAAGCACAACAACAACATCAGCTACAACAGCAACAGCAACAGCAACAATTAGCACAGCAGCAACTACAACAGCAACAGTATGTTCAGCCACATCTACCCGAAACACCACGAGCGGCTGCCAGCAGCAACAGCAACGGAGACCTGCGCCCCACGGCAGAGAACGCGTCTCCCGTGCAGCCATCGCCCGACTACGACCGCGTACTGTCGGACCAGCTGCAGCGCGATATGGGCGGCATGAATCTCGCCTCCGCCATCAACTCACCGTCACGGCAGCCCTCGGCATCGTTTGACCCATTCCAACAGCCACCGAATCGGCAGAACGAGCGGCATTCCCTAGTCTCCAAGAGCTCACAACAACACATGGAGCCAGGTTCTCTGGCACCAGCAATTCCATCGCTGGCCGGGTCTTCGTCGTCCCGTCCTCAGTCTCGTGTTGGTCCCATGCAGCTGCCTGAGATCCCTCCTTTCCGCGGCGGTGCAGCGGCGCAGGCAAGTACCGAGGTACGGCCACTGGTACAACAGCCATTGCAGCCAAAAACCGTCCTACAACCACCGCCAGGGCTACCCGTGCCGCAGCAGGGCCAGGCGATGTTCCCGCCGCAACAGAATGCACAGATCTCAAACAACCTACCCGCATGGCCTCAACAACAACAACAACAGCAGCAGCAGCAGCAGCAGCAACACCAGCTTCGGTCCAATGCGGTGCCATCTCAGAACCAGCTACTTGCCCTACCTGAGCCGACAGGCACGCCCGTCTCGTTTCCCTCGCCGGCCCCGGCCAACCCCAATGGTGACCTTGATGCGCTTAACGACGTCATTTTCCCTGCCCTCGAGGAAGCCCTCAAGCGGAGGCAGATCCGCGTGCAGAAGCTGGCCCGTACCGCCACGACAACCGCGACGACTGCGGCTGGTGTTGAGCTACAACAGCAGCAGCGAGCCCAGGTGGCCCAGGCTGAAGTAGCTCACGACAAGATCCGCCGGCTGGTGTACAAGCTTGCCCATGTCTGCAAGGAGATTGACCACTTTGACAAGGCTGAGCCTGTCGGTATGGGCAAGGACGTGGGCACATTTCTTGAAGGTCTTCTTGAGGAGATTCTCGTGCGTGTCGAGCCTCTCGACGAAGAGGCCGTGTAGGATTGAAAGGTTTCTTTTTCTTGGGGGGGTTGGAGAGACGGTGTAAGGCGTTTTGAAACGAGCTGGAGTTGGTTAACGATTGCTTTGACCTTTTGGGTTGTTTGGTTCATGGTTTGACGAGGTATCTCCCCCGTCCGTCTCTAGCCCCTTTTTTCTTTTGTACTTTGCATGTCTATGTATTTTGACCCTTTTCCTCTTACTACGCATTGCTCCTCTGTACACAGCATCGACGGCATCCGATTAGAATTCTACACACAACTCAGAAGCGATATGTATGACGACTTTTGTTGTATCCACGGCTCTTGATGGTTTATTATGGTCTCGTAGTCGACCTTCCGCGTGACGTTCTTTGTAAATCGATATGGCAAGTGAGGCATGGCAGAAAAGCACAATAGAGGTACGAAATAATTCATGACAATGGACACAGTGGCCAGGATAGAAGGGCACATAATTTTTAACCCTAAAATAAGGAGCAAACGAACAAATCCACTCAAAACCAGCAAAAGCTTGAATTCCGCTGTTGCATTTTACTTTCTTTAGTACGCGGAAGAAAATAAAATAGTAAAACTAGCAAGGACTGTAACCCTATGGGATCCCACGGTGATGTCCATGTCAATGTAGACGGTAAGTTTTATCTAACGGGCTAGTGCTAGCGATGGTCGAGTTATCAGATGGTTTTGCATCAGTTTTTCCCCCCCTTTTTGTGATGAAAACTCTTTCATGTTCACTACTTCTCTATATATTACTTTAAAATCAACACATGCAAATGTTTCTAAAAATGACGCAAGAAAGAAGGATACTGGCTGTGTAAACGCATAAACCTAACTAAAACAGCATTCTTTCCAGACCTCTTTGCAACTCTCGATTACTTTTCCCTGCTAAGTTTAGTCGAAACACAAGTCCATCAGCTACGTTATAGCACGTGTGGCCGTGTGAACCAGTCGCCGATGCCGGTTGTCTGCCCAGTCTTGTGGCCGTTTCACTTTGTCATAATATGTTTATTGTTGCTGCGTCCTTTCGTGATATTCAGCTCGCATCCTGTGAGCCTTTGAGACGGCAGATTTGCAGATTTACATACTAAGAAGTCTAAGGCCTTGGTCCATGTAGCACGTCGTCTCTGTGCTAGAGCTAGCTATTTGGCTTTGTCTTTTGTCTTTTTCCATTTGTTCTCTTTTATTAAAGTACAACAGTAATGGACAGTTTCTAGGAAGCTAGCCTCTTGCCCTCCTCTAAGTGATTTCTTAGCTGTTGGTCGGGTTTACTTGGGAGAATTGCCTGAGCGACGAGATACGATGATATATTCTAGCAACCCCTCGACTTCCGGCCCTTGCTTTCGGCAGGCATTAGCCGTACGTCGTTTTTATCAGATCGGTCCATTCTTCCAACTAGTGACTTAGTGCAGGGCATGGCATAATATTTGCCGGAAAACGCGCCAGGTTGTGTTCTCTCCCCACAGAACAAACGAGAAGCTACGGTGACCAGGAGAAGTTGTCCAACCGATGAATTCCGACAGATGGAGAATCCCACGCCGGCGGACGCTGTATTTACCAAGGTTCTGTTGCGGGCGAACAAGTCAATTGTCCGAAATGGGGACGAGGTCCCATATTTGTGGCCTCAGCTGTGTTAGGGGTTTTATTTCAAACTATCACTTGTCACGTCCCATGGCGTAGAAAAGCGGTCTTGCAATCGAACGGTGAATGCCACCATGCCCATCCATGCCCATTTTCTCCGTTTATCCTGGGGTGCCAGCTTTCCAATAGTAAAAACGCCCATCATATCGTATCATAGTCTAGGGTTCTGCCTTGCGTCCTTTGTGGTTGACAAGCTTTTATACCCTTTTGTACTTTGTCTTTGCATATCAGCTATTGGTGGGTACAAGAACTTGGGCGGTCAAGAGTCTGGATGCGTCTTGTGGACTGAAAATGGTCCCCGACGTCGGCATGCTTGGTCCTCATTTCGAGCCCATAATGTCCCGTCTCCATTTCCTGGTTCTTTTTAGCTGCATCTGTCCTTGGTCACGCGAGTGGGGGTGTTGAGACTATGTAGTGCTGCAAGGGCACTGGCGGGTCAGAAGCTTGTGGAAAAGACGCCAAGGAGCTGGACTCCATCTAATCTAATCTGATTGTGGTAAGAGGAGCGAATATAAACATCCGAGTGAAAAAGAGGTCCAAAAAAAAATGAAAGCAGCAAAGAAATTATCTGAAGGACTGAATACACGACGCACGAGCACAAGGAGTAATGTAACTGAAACTGAACATGGAGACTGAGAAAGCTGGGAGCCGGATCTGACACGAGACAGCTTTGTCTGTGGCACTGATGCACAAATGGACTATTCGTATCTTAGCCTCGGCCGGGACTCTGATTTTTTGGATCTTCTCTAGCCTTTTTGGTGGAAGGACTACATACGTCTACGGCTTTTATCAGATTGTGCTAGTGCCCGTTCGACGAACCGTGCACCGTGCCCTGACTTGGGTGAGTTCGAAGAATTTTCACTTTCGTCTTTTGTCCATCTGATTAGACTGCATGGTTGCTTGGGCCAGGGTCCGTTACGTTTCAGCCGTCCAGGTGTTTTTGTTTGGTTTATTTCTCCCTTGCGCCTCGAACCTCATAAAACCCCTCGTGTGGAAATACTTTCCATCCCTCGCACCACTTGCCCGACCCATTTTGGTTTGATATCTCCTCGGCTTCCCTCCCGATAGCTCCGGCGGACAGCAATCACAAGTGAGTAGCATGTTGGGAAATATGGCGTCGTTTTTAATGTTTTATCTAACAAGCCCTTTTCATCTAGGGAGAGACAATCTTGGGGGGTTAAGCGTACTGGCCGTAGGGCCTTGCAGTAAGTAATCATGGATCTACAATTTCTGTGTTGGAAAAATGTTGTGCACGCCAAAAGGCCACGACTGGGGTTGTAGGAAATGGGAGAGGCAGATACACAACTCGTGCTGTCTATTCTCGATGTGGCGTATCTCAGTTGGTCTAGGTGGTAGAAGAACCGTCAATCCGCCTCGCAGTGATGGATGGGCAGACAGATGGACTGTTGAGAGAGTGGCCTGCATGATTCATCCCTTTGGTTGATTAATTATTGATTCAACGGGTATTTGCGCGGAGTTGATGTTAACAGTGGGAAACGGTGACTAAGAAAGGTGCATGGGAGATTGGGCGTGAAGAGAAGCTGAAGAAAGCATGGTATTGTGTAACAAGAGTGCGATGCCCAGAACTGGCGTGTAAAAAGAGATGCAAAGAGATGCAAGAGATGGAAAAGAACAGATAGAGCACGCCGGAAATGCAAAAAAAAAAAAAAAAAAAAAAAGAAAAAAAAATAAAGACAAACACCGCAAGACGAATGAGAGAAATAGACGTCCGGAGCCACGCAATACGCAGAGGTAGACTTCAGTCTACATGAGAACAAAAGAGGATCCAACGCAGATGCCGCATTGCCACACAATACTCGCCCTAGACTCTGGCCTCTTCTCGTCCTCTTTCTGCCTCTAATAGTGACTTAGTCCATGGAACCAGTGCGGACATGTGTACTTGCACCACTTGCACCGCTCAGACTAGAGAAAAGGACGAAGTGTGGACGGTGGCTGCGGACGGGATGCCGATCACAGACTTATGAGGACGGAGTTGTAAGTTTCTACTCTCTGTCTCTTGTCACTTTTGTGTATTCGCTTTTCTTTTTTTTTTTTTTTTCTTTCTTTCTTCTTTTTTTTCTTCTTAGCATATGTTCTTTCCTTCACCACCCAAAGGGCCGCCGAAGATACCACATATCTATACACCGTCTACGGCGCTTCTGAGTTTGTTTTTTGGCGTGTTGATTTGTTGTTTCCCCTTTCCCTCTCTGCCTGTGTTTGGTTCGTCTGGCCTGAGGACTTTCTTCACTCTCCACACTCCAAGTATACAACTATATATCATAACGTCGTCCATCGGACGGTCGATCATTTCCCATTTTCCGTCGTTGTCCCTCTCAGCTCGCTGTCCTCGACGCCATAGTCATATTGCTTGCTTGACAGACGGCCCTTGGCACAGTTGCAGTTGATACTTTGTTTTGTTATTCTGCTTTTTTTATTCTTAGTTGTTTTCTTTCGTCCTTTTGTCTTTTACCCTCCACCAAGCACTCCCCTTCACGCACATCGTCATGATGTCACCATTGACGCGGCTTGCCGTCGCATTCCTGCTATTTTCAGGCGCCGTGCAAGCCGGCACACCGTTCGGCTTTGTCAAGGAGAACCAGGAGTGCGGTGTGACCCTGCTCTTCGTGTACAGAAAATACGCATGGCCCGGTGTCGGCTATGGCAGCAGCTATGGCGCCGCGTGCCAGAACCCCAACGCCGTCGTCAGCATGTACGCCTCGCTCTATACCTACTGCCCCCCGGAGGAGTGGCAGCCCGGCGTCGCGGGGCTGAATGCGCAGTGCTTGCGTCGGGCCAACGTGCCGTTTGCCGCGGCGTCCGACTATGCCGCCAACCTGACCACGGAGGCCATTGCCGCGCTGCCCGTCTACGAGGCCAAGACGCTGCGAAAGAGCGCCAACGTCACCGCCCCCTTTCTCATGTCCCAGGCCTGGTTCGACATCAGCCGCCGCTCGGAGCACTGGCGCGACTACGAACAGCGGTTGCGTGCCTACTACACGTGAGCCCTCTCTTTGGCCCTCTCTTTAGCCCTCTCTTTCGTCAAGCACGGCAGCACGATGCCAAGATGTGTCTGCTCGATCACCACTAACAGTTTTCCAGGTTCGCCGGCTACGGCTTCTGGGCCATCGTCCTCGTCTTCGGCATAGTCCAGAACGCTGTCTACAAGGCCATGGAGAGCCGCCAGGGCTACGTCTACGCCGACGCCGAGCGCCATGATCAGCCCACCGGCAACGCCAAGCCGTCTACCCCTTTCGGCCGAGTGGCCGCCGTCCTCCGCAAGTATGTCGTCACGCCCAGCGCCCTGCCGCCCTACCACCAGCGGCGCTTCCTCGGCTGCACGATCCCCACGCGCGCCGAGACGTTTGTCGT